CTGATATCATCCGAGTGGGCTGAATTTTTGGGGTCATGTAATTACAATTGAATCATTGCAGATACTGGTTTTCCACATGGCGCCTTCAGAAGTGATTTCCACAGTAGCTTGTTGTGAATGGAGGGAATTCACGCTTGATTTAAAAACCTCAGTCCCATGTTGTGACCCGGTCAGTCGGCCTACTGACGGAAAACCTGGCTGAGAAATCAGGCACATGCAACAGGACTGACATTTTATTTGTTTATCTATATTTTAGTCAATGACCTGATGGAACAACCTTAACATGGTATACCCAAGGCATGTCATATAATTTGTGGTTAGGCGGGATGCTTTATGCGTACCTTTAAAGTGTGACTGACAAGAATAAAGACACATAGCAAACCAGGTCCTCTAATTATAAACCTGCACTACAGGTGCATTTGTAGCTGGGACATCAGTGGTAAAGGCAGTGAGAAAAGCCACATAATCTAGCACATCTCCCCACTATTTCCTATGTCTCTTACCTTCCGTCGCAGACAGGAAGGTTGTTTAAATAGGGGTCCAAAATCTCTGTGTCAAAATGGAGTAACTCTCCCTCCCTTGTTGTCTCTCTTCTCCCTCCCTCATTAAAGGTGCTGCATGGTCATTCTGACGTCTACATTGGCCGTGCAGCATTTACCGTGATATGGCCTCTGCAGAAGTCAGGGCATTTATACTTCTTGCGCTTCGCCGAGCTGTTTTTTTTGTTGAGCTGTTGTAAAGGAAGTTGTCGAGGAAGTGAGTTTGTGTTTATACAGGACCTCCCGCCTTCACCTACCGTCAACCAATCATGTCAATGCGTTGCTATACAGAGCCCTCCGCATTGTCACAAAATTTGAGAAGCGCACAGCGATGCGGTACAGAGCTCAATTTTGACTCTGCGTGCCTCCAGAGGATTCGCAATTGCGTCACACCATCCATACGGTGCCTCCGACCACATTTTCGGATCAAGCATACGTTTGCTCTTACTGTGATATGGAGGACACGCCCAGCTCCAGGGTTCTCCCCAAAGAGGCGTTGCGCCACCTTGTGGACTGGCTATGCCACTATGAAAAATAAAAAAAACAGTTTAAAACGTGGTTATCCTATAAGGCAATCTTTTTTGATCTCGATTGCAAGAAATGGCAGTTACAGGAGTTAAAAAACACAAAAATCTAAGTCCTCCGGGGCTCCCTCGGCCATACTCAGCAGAACCACCTTGTCAAAAAATCCTAGGGAGACCTGCAACTCTGTCGCTTGCTCACACAAACACGCACTGCCAGCCAAACACTGACATCACCAACCGAGAGCTCCCTCTGGTTAAGGGCACTTTCTCCACTTACAGGAATATAAAACAAACACTCACAAGGACAAAAACAGGTACGATCATGTACATCACCCATCACACTGAGAACACTATGCCCCACTCAAATGTAAAGTGTTACATACACACAAATAACAAGTGTGAAGAGAGAGGTATTAAACATGTTATCGCCCATACTCACAGATCAGTCTTCACATGGTAGATTGGTGTGGGCCCTCCTATATGGCTAAACATCAAATTTGAACTAAGACAGGCCTATATCTGATGACAACCAAAGGCATTACAATTGACACAGAAATGCTTTATGACCTCCATTCAAGAGGTATGGTACTGGTGAATCAACATTAATGTACAGAATTTTGACCAGGTAAACGGTTTTGAACGTGGGCAAACTAGGCATTGCATGATACATATTCTGCTAAACTGCTGGCGTACAGCTGTTATTGCTGCCATTTCCCACCATGTTACTTCTCTTGTTGCCAGTAGAGGGAGCTGAGAGTAGGTAGGGGACATTTCTGCATTTAAAGTGTTGAGCAAAAAAAGCATGCCATTTGCATTGTAGACCACAAGGGGGAGCCAAAAGGCTGATAATGGTGCATTTGTATGACAGCACCGTGTAGAAACCTTTGTTAAACAAACATTGACTTGTAACATCTCTAGCTAAATAAACAGATCACAATAATGATATGGCCAACAGGAATCTCTAATATGAGGTCGACATACAAAAAATCAAAAGCAACATAAGGATACAGCTGATCTACAACAGCTTCCTGGTGTGAACTTGATAACTGTGTTCCTCTGTGTCATGGCTTGTGTCTGCCAAAGAAGGCATGTTCATGCTGGCAACAGTCAAAAACCATTCAGTTCCCAAATATATAAACAGAGTCAAGAAGTAACTTCAATTTCTTTATTACTTTAAATAAGAAAATAGCTACAATCAGTTCATTTCATCTAAACAATAAATATGAGGGGTACATTTGCAACCACCATTAACACTTAAGGAGCTGCAGTTAATACAGAAGAGCCTAGGCACTTAGAAAATAATTTGCAAATCGGTAATGCAAACTGATTGATTTATTGACATGCTGTTTAAATAAACAAGGGTAGCGCGATGTTATCATATCTGTAGTACTTCCCTGTTAAACATACTTTATATTGTCTAAATACCTTCCTGCATCCGCGTAAGGCAAATTAGGCTACATATTCAAGCAAGAACACCAAAAACGGGTTAAAGCAAAGGCAGACCATTCTAAAATATATTTAGGCGCTTTAAGGTATAAACTTCGTGAATTTTTTGTTAAAGACCTCTTGGCATTGGGGAAATGTGCTGTAGCTAAAGTTGTATGAACAATGTCTACAGTAGCAGTCGTTGGTCCAACTCCAGAGCTAACAAGATTATCATATTGTGTAACAGGCTATGGTGAAAACACCTCTGGTGCCTTGTGAAGTAGGCTACTTCTTGATTAGTCTGAAACTTATAATTGAAGTATAGCCTAACTTTTCCAACATCAACTAGGACAAATTTGGCCTGTAAGCTTGTTGACAAGACAGGGTTACAAGCAGCTACCTATATGCACTGTGGAAACAGACTGAGAAAAACATCGCTACCTAGCTAGCACTTTACTTGATTAAACTCAATTTAGACATTACCTGACTAGCCAACATGAAGCAATCAAACGTTATACAATTGATCTTCCACACTTTTAAAGGCATGCTCAATACATTCTGGTGAACGCGAACTTTCAAGTTAGCTGGTACCTAGCAAGACTCCATTTTTCTTGCCAACAAGAAGCAAAAGCACTAGTCACAACACCGCCATGTTGAGACGAGGTTTCAAAGAATGTACAAAGTTAGCAATTCGCTAACTGTTACTAGCAAGCAATACAGAAAGGGAAACAAATATTAGTGTAAATAGTCAAGTACCCTATCAAATATTTGTACATATATTGATATCAACGACCAGAAAATGTCATGAGTTGTTAGCTGCTCTGACAGTGCCAGACAAACAACCGTGTCCATAGTGGTTTGACCATGGCATGTCTACAACTCGGTTAGCTAGCCAGCCAACAAGATTACGCAACATGTGGATAAATAACTTTAAATCAGGTAGTTAACAACATTATCAAAACGAACATTAAATTCCACCCTGTATTTCCTATGAATTTACAAGCCAATTTATAACAATGTACAACATGGTACCTACTGTTTGAGGTTGGCTAGCTAGTTAGCGACCCGGTCTCACGGTGGCCATTTTTGTTTGCCAACTAAACAAAATATTAAACACTAATTAGCTATAAGCTGCTTCTATATTGGCCACGGTGACATTTAAACAACGAAATATGCGCAAAAATAATGTTATCTAAAACAAGTTGCTAATTTACCATCATTATAAATTAGTTACCGTAGCTAACTGGTGAGTTTCACAGTGGTTAGCTCGCTAGCTAGCTCCCACAAAGGGGTACTAGCTGCTAACTGGCCGCATCTCTAACAAGCCACCGTTACCTACTAAGTCTTCTTAGGCTATTATCCAACTTGATGATAATAAAACATGAATACTTATCACCAACCAAAGAGTCTCGTTTACTAGTTAGTGTAACTAATTCATAACTATAATTTGGAATTTTACATTGACTTTTGTTAGCTAGGTAGTTAAGACACTTCTTACCGCCAAAGGCAAAGCCAGGCTGTGTCACTGCGTTAAACGTGGCCTTCCAATCTTGTCCCTATTTCAGAAAAATAATCTATTTACATTACAAATTATAACGACGTTTGCTCTAAAAACGTGTATTTCAATCTTTCCCGTTTGAATTATGGTAAAGTCTTTCACGGCTATTGTAATTTAACACCGCAGGCTTTTGCCAGACTTTCCCAGTTGAAGTACTGAAAATAACACTGATCGCGCAGGTATGGGTCCCACTTGAGACCGAGGACTCTTGCATAGTCCCGTAAAAACCAAAATGTTGTCATAAAACAACAGTAATTTCGACATATTCTTAAAGCAGGTCGAAAACTAACTACAATAAACTGCTTTTAAATACAAAACAAAGAACAAACTAGTTAAATATGCCTTTGATTTACGAAAGGTCGAGGTAGGCCTCATGCTCAAGCTTCTTTTTCCAGAGTCGTAGCTGATCCAGAGCGAGACGAACGAGACAAGACAGATTTTTTTTTAGTTTTGCTTAGAGTGAAAAATTACGGATCGGTGCAGTTCGGCAAAGATCGGGAATAAGGCGGGTTTAACGAAAGTTATCCCAACGCCATCATATCTCTATGGCCATTGGCCAATCTCTATGTACTAATGTATATTAATGTTATAATTGACCAACCACACTGTATCTTATTGAATATTAACAGCACTACAACCAAATATAGATTGTAGCCCCGCCTCTGCTCTGATCTGACCAATGGTGAGCATGTCAGCCAATTTAGTGCCCGCCTTATGTTTCAATTGGTTAAAGAAGAAAACGTACGCTTCCATTGGTCATGCGTCTTATCAAATGTATTATTCATGTTGTGATCTTGTGTAGCCAATTAACGTTTTACTACACAGATCCATAACCCGCCTCCTGACTGTTCAGCCCCTGCTTCGTTGAGTGTGTCAACCTGTACCAAAGTCTCCAGTCTATATAAACACGCGTTGGCTGTTTTCGAGCTCAGATGCGCTTAGAGCGCGCTGGAGTGTAGATCAGGAGAAGCAAGGGGGACAGCTGGTAGTCATAGTGGATAGGAGTAAAGCGTAAATAAATAGACTCCTAAGGCAGTAAACAACGTGGGTCTTCAGGATATCGCCTTCGGAGACATTCCGGTCACCGTTGGCGGTCTGGCCAGAGTCCTGGTGACAATTTAAAGCTATTCCTTCTTACAAAAGCAGTGTGCCGAGGGAGGACGCGTCTCTTTGAATAGACAGGATGCACGGACCGCCCTCCGGCGACAGCGCATGCCCATTGCGCCTCATCAAGAGAGTGCAATTCGGCATCATCAGCCCAGATGAGCTTGTAGGTTTTGCTTTGGGGTGGGGGGATTCGTTTACTTTCTGAACGTTCTCACATTGATCTTATCTGTACATGACTATACCTAGAATATATCATTGATGACAATGGATGTGCTACAAAGGAAGTAGCTTACAGCTAGCCTAGCTAACGTTAACTAGCTAAGCCATGTTGGAGCTTGAGCTAGCTAGCTAGCTAGCTAGCAACAGCATGTTGTAGGAAGTTCGACAAACTTTTTCAGCACACAGTATTTTCCATCTGAGCTAAACCATATATATCATGAATCAAACTCCCTTTTATTTTGAAAATACATGTAAACAAATACCATTTTAGCTACTTTTACTGAACTTTACAATTTTGTTCTGTTCCCAGCAAGTTACACACACAAACACTAATGTTCCCACTTGTAATCTATATGTGGTATATCATAATAAAAGGCAACGCCATTAAAGTCAAAGCTATGCATGTTTTCTTTACGTTATGTTTTATTAGTTTTAGAATAAAGGGATCTTTCTTGGCAATATAATACGTTGTTTACATAATCCTCTAGTCAATTTGCTCACCTCAATTTCTTTTCATCCATTTGGTTGGACCTCAAAATTGATTTGTCAGGGTACCAATACTGGTTTAGAAATGCAACTTTGATCAAAGTGTACCACTGTGTTCTTATTGAGTTGTAGGTACGGTCATCGTCGCTTGATTCAATTACTGATTTTTCAGGGGTTATTTGTTTTGAAATAGTTTCGAGGTATGTAAGCCATTTTCCAATGTGACTGCTTCACTGTTCTATGTGTATTTACTTAGGCTATTCATATTTTGGAACTGGATTTGATGTTGACTATGGTTCTCCCTCTAGAAACGGATGTCGGTCACGGAAGGGGGAATCAAGTACCCCGAGACCACAGAAGGAGGGCGTCCCAAACTCGGTGGGCTGATGGACCCCAGACAAGGGGTCATCGAACGATCCGGAAGGTGTCAAACATGTGCAGGTACAGGAAGTTACCAGGACATCGTTGTAATTTTGTGGTTGGGTCACCACTACTGTGCTTGAATGTTGGTTAAATTTTTATTTTTTATTTTTGCTGTTCAGGTAACATGACAGAATGCCCGGGCCACTTCGGCCACATAGAGCTGGCCAAGCCGGTGTTCCATGTGGGCTTCGTCAACAAGATCATGAAGGTCCTCCGGTGTGTCTGCTACTCCTGCTCCAAGCTGCTGGTCGACACAGTCAGTAACCCTCCATTCCTTCCTTCCTTACACTACCACTACACAACCTATATGTAACATGTACCAATCCGCTCCCGGATTCAATACTTGTGATGCTCACAACATGGCACACTCAATACAAAAAAACTATACCTCAACTTCCACGCTGCACTGTATACACATAGAATATCTAACACTGCATAAACTCCTGATATATCTAATTGATTTTCATTTGATGAGTATAAGAATTATGGATCAAGGCATACTAATGATTACATGTTAGTCCTTACATGGAATTACATTACACATATTCCAATGACTTGTTGATGTGATGGGGCGCGTTCAGCAGGATGCAACGTTTTGGAATGTTCAGATAGAAATATGCTATATAGAACGAACATGCAGCTCTGACATGTAGAATAAGGAATCACGTCGGCTCTATTTGTGGTATTTCTATCTGCAACGTTCAAGAATGGCCCTGGTGTCTCCTTCCTTCTAGAATAACCCAAAGATCAAAGACATCCTGCAGAAGTCCAAGGGGCAGCCCAGAAAGCGTCTGACCCACGTGTACGACCTGTGTAAAGGCAAGAACATCTGCGAGGGCGGAGAGGAGATGGACAACAAGTTTGGAGTGGAGCAGCAGGAGCACGACAGTGAGGACATCACTAAGGAAAAGGTACTGTCACCGGGGACTCTTGTCAACGTCATGTCATTCGTAGGCCATCAATACTTAACGCATATTTTTGTCTTTGTGTGCTCTCATCTCACATAGTAACATCTTTCTGATTTTGTTTCCTCATGGTCCTCTTGTAACACACACACACTCTCCCCCTCACTCTCCCAGGGCCATGGTGGCTGCGGGCGCTACCAGCCGCGTATCCGCCGGTCGGGCCTGGAGCTGTACGCTGAGTGGAAGCACGTGAACGAGGACTCACAGGAGAAGAAGATCCTGCTGAGCCCCGAGCGCGTCTATGAGATCTTCAAACGCATCTCGGACGAGGAGGACGTAATCCTGGGCCTGGATCCCAAGTTCTCCCGGCCTGAGTGGATGATTGTCACGGTACTACCCGTGCCGCCGCTGGCTGTCCGGCCTGCCGTCGTCATGCAGGGCTCCGCCCGTAACCAGGTGAGGAGGAATGACTAACTGTTAGAGATTTTTTACTGAAATGTCAGGAATTGAAGGGGTTCGGTGACTTTCAAGTGCAAGACTGTCATTTTGCCTTGAAATTGTTGAGATTGTTTAACTTGTTTAAGTTTTACCATCGTCGTTTAACCACGTCATGTCCTTTTTTCCTGTCACCCAGGATGACTTGACACACAAGCTGGCCGACATCGTCAAGATCAACAACCAGCTGCGGCGGAACGAGCAGAGCGGCGCGGCGGCCCATGTCATCGCTGAGGACGTGAAGCTGCTGCAGTTCCACGTGGCCACCATGGTGGACAACGAGCTGCCAGGCCTGCCCAGGGTACGCACTGCAGCAAGGACACATGAGAGGGCACCAATTGGCACAACATTACTGTACTTCTTACCCTTGCCAATGTGTATTGTTACTATAGAGATTTACTGTTTGTCTTTGTTTGAATTGAAGATTGAAGACTAAATAATACACATACTATTAGATGCTTTAAAAGTGCTCTTTTGTTAGACTGATAAGACCGACAACTATTCAACCCATAATATCTGGGTTTATTTCATTTTCAATGATTACTGATAGTTGTGAAGGATCATCAGCTCTGTTCTGAATATGTTTGTGCTGATAACTGAACTTTCTCTTAACTCCCAGGCAATGCAAAAATCGGGCCGCCCGCTCAAATCCTTAAAACAGCGTCTGAAGGGGAAGGAAGGGCGAGTCCGAGGTAACTTGATGGGGAAACGTGTGGACTTCTCCGCCAGAACCGTCATCACCCCCGACCCCAACCTCCAGATCGACCAAGTGGGCGTCCCGCGCTCCATCGCCGCCAACATGACTTTCCCAGAAATCGTCACACCGTTTAACATTGACAGGTACGGCAGAGAAACTAACCAATTGTTTACTGTTTAAACTGACATAATTGTGTGTAATTGTGTATTGGTTATAATGTTGACAGTCCTATATGTCGTCAGGTTACAGGAGCTGGTGCGCAGAGGCAACAGCCAGTATCCAGGAGCCAAATATATCATCAGAGACAACGGGGACAGAATCGACCTGCGGTTCCACCCCAAACCAAGTGACCTTCACCTCCAGATCGGCTACAAGGTGACCCTCAAAAGACAAGATGGTTCTCATTTATTGTGGAATGTTTACGGAGTGACTTGGACTTGATGTAATGCAATGTCACTTTTATGAACTAATTTTTGTCCCCCTCAGGTGGAAAGACATATGTGCGACGGTGACATCATCATCTTCAACAGACAGCCCACGTTACATAAAATGTCTATGATGGGGCACAGAGTTCGAATCCTGCCCTGGTCCACCTTCCGAATGAACCTCAGGTACAACTATCAAGTCTTGAATTTTCCCTTCGAGTCTCTGTCAGACTGGCCCAGTTTCAGACCACAAACAGACATGATACCTGAGTAGTTATTGTTTGTTGGCATAAACACTGACAAGAATGTTGGGAAGAACATTGATATAGAACCTATTGTTGAGCGAATATAATTTCAGGATTGGGATTAGTGCTCCTATAGTATCGGATGATTTTCTCAACTTCAATTGTTTCAAAATGAAAGCAAATGCTAACACAGAACACATTACACACCATTGAACATATTACATAAAAACAGATCCAGGATGGTGACATTAACCACTCTGCCCCCCTCCCCCTGTTCCACAGTGTAACCACTCCGTACAATGCTGACTTTGACGGGGATGAGATGAACCTGCATCTCCCCCAGTCCCTGGAAACGAGAGCTGAGATCCAGGAGCTGGCCATGGTGCCTCGTATGATCGTCACCCCCCAGTCCAACAGGCCCGTCATGGGCATCGTGCAAGACACCCTCACCGCCGTGCGCAAGTTCACCAAAAGGGACGTCTTCCTAGAGAGGGTAAGGAGGGGAATGTTTAAAGGGATAGATCAGCCCCAAAAACATACACACACGTCTTTCCTCCACTTATTCTGTAACATGATCTGTCCCCCAGGGCGATGTGATGAACCTCCTGATGTTCCTGTCTACGTGGGACGGCAAGGTGCCCCAGCCAGCCATCCTGAAGCCCCGGCCGCTCTGGACGGGCAAGCAGATCTTCAGCCTTATCATCCCGGGCCACATCAACGCCATCCGAACACACAGCACCCACCCAGACGAGGAGGACAGTGGGCCCTACAAACACATCTCTCCCGGGGACACCAAGGTAAAAACACTAAACTGGAGAAACACACTGAGATGCTCATGTGACAAGGAGGATTTGTTTAACAAATGTTGTAGTGATAGTGTGTGCAGAATACAGGCTTTTATTGCATTTATTGTGTACATTCTTTAGTTACATGTTTTTTCTATATGTTCCCATCTTAGAATGCTAGCACTTTACCACACATGTAAAAAAAAAAAAAAAAAAGGTGGCCATTTTGTCCCAGAACGCTAACCACACCTCCTAACGCAGAACCATGAATGGATACTAACCCAATGTGCGTAAAATACTATTATATAATGTCATGTGTCTGTGTTTCCCCAGGTGATAGTGGAGAACGGGGAGCTGATCATGGGCATCCTGTGTAAGAAGTCACTGGGTACCTCTGCTGGCTCCCTGGTCCACATCTGTTTCCTGGAGATGGGCCATGACGTCACCCGCCTCTTCTACTCCAACATCCAGACGGTGGTCAACAACTGGCTGCTCATTGAGGGTAAGGACCTGGACTGAGTGGGCCCTGGGAAGAGGGCATCAGTGGGTAGAATGGCAACTCCTTTGAAATCCGCTTGAAGTTAATCTGTTCTATTTTGGGGTTAGGGGTTAAATTCCTCTAAATGCAGATATTTCAGTCAATATTACCAGTTTTTCTTAATATTCATATTTTCTCTCTGTAGGTGCTTCTATCGGTATTGGTGACTCCATTGCTGACGCAAAGACGTACCTGGACATCCAGAACACCATCAAGAAGGCCAAACAGGATGTAATAGAGGTAAGTCCCTTCCCTTCGCTCTAAAATATTCCTTCAAATATTCCTTGTCAATAAATCCTCTTGTATTCATGATGGGGACGTCCTCTGGCAATTCCTTTTGAAAGAATGTAGACTGGAATAAAATATGTGAGCCATTTCTAAGACCCTCTGTCTCGAACTCCCTTCATTTTCTTCCTGTAATCCTCTCCAGGTCATTGAGAAGGCCCACAACAACGAGTTGGAGCCCACCCCTGGTAACACGCTGAGGCAGACCTTTGAGAACCAGGTGAATCGCATCCTAAACGACGCCCGTGACAAAACGGGTTCCTCTGCCCAGAAGTCCCTGTCTGAGTACAACAACTTCAAGTCCATGGTGGTGGCCGGCTCCAAAGGCTCCAAGATTAACATCTCTCAGGTACGACCAGGGGTCCTAAAAAATATACAAACGACCTGCTCTCATGCAATAAGAAACGCTCATTTTTGTTTTAAAACGCTACACTACGGTGTGCCCTACTGAACACGGCCCAGGATAGTTTCAGACATCGATGGATTTTTTAATGGCACACAGTGTTCCTCTAGGGATGACAGTAGACAACGGGCTTCGATTTACACCCCTTAACTTCACACACTTTTTCCTTCTCTACCATCTGTCTCTCCCTCTCTCTGGCCCTCAGGTTATTGCGGTGGTGGGGCAGCAGAACGTGGAGGGTAAGCGTATCCCGTTCGGCTTCAAGCACCGCACGCTCCCCCACTTCATCAAGGATGACTACGGCCCCGAGAGCAGAGGCTTCGTGGAGAACTCATACCTGGCCGGCCTCACGCCCACAGAGTTCTTCTTCCACGCCATGGGAGGCAGGGAGGGGCTTATCGACACGGCTGTGAAGACCGCCGAGACTGGTGAGTGAAGGGGAGAAGTAAGAGTTTATTTAATTAAAGATCACCATTAGCTATTGCAAAAGCAGCAGCTACTCTTCCTGGGGTCCACACAACATAAAACAGGACATAATACAGAACATTAATAGACAAGAACAGCTCAAGGACTGCATACATTTAAAATAAGAGTATAGAAAGAGGGGGGAAGAGGAGGAAGATGTTGGGGATAGAGACTGGTGATTGAAGGGGGGAGAGGCAAGGAGTAGAGGTCAGGGTTTAAGCTGGTTAGAAGCACTTTTTAATGTAGGGAGATGAGAGGGAGGAAGGGGTGACTGTTACGACCCCTGCACGATTAGGGAGAGGAGACTCATAGATAGTTCGGTAAGTAGATGGATTTTTCACAGGTTTAAATACTCTTCTAACCTCAGTCCTTATCTGATGTCCTTCAGGTTACATCCAGCGTCGTCTGATCAAGTCCATGGAGTCTGTGATGGTGAAGTATGACGCCACGGTGCGGAACTCCATCAACCAGGTGGTGCAGCTTCGCTACGGAGAGGACGGCCTGGCCGGGGAGTCTGTGGAGTTTCCAGAACATGGCCACGCTCAAACCCTCCAACAAGGCCTTCGAGAAGAAGTGAGTGGTGAAGGGAAGTGGGTTGAGGGGAGTGGAGATCCTGTGTAGCTCAGTTGGTAGAGCATGGCGTTTGCAACGCCAGGGTTGTGGGTTCGATTCCCACGGGGGTCCGGTATGAAAATATATGCACTCACTAACTGTAAGTCGCTCTGGATAAGAGCGTCTGCTAAATGACTCAAATGTAATGTAAAATGAGAGAGAGAGGAAGGGGCGGGGAGGTACAATGATGGCTAGAGTTTTGGGTGTGGGATAAGGGTACTAGATTCGTTTGAGCTGTCTTGCCAACTCCTATGGTGGTTATTGTCATGCCAACGACCATAGGAGTTGGCTATACAGGAAAAACAGATCTGAGACCAGGCTTGTGCTCTCTTAGTCATTCGATGATTGATTGACTACATTTAAAAAAAAAAACTAGTACAAGCTTTCCTCTCCTATTGGTTGACAGTGTGACAATATTGGATATCATAGACTTCACCTCTCCACGACCCACCATCTTATTAATCACCCAGATGCTAACGCTAAACTCTGTCTAGTCACGTCTATATGAAGGTGTTCAATACAGCAGCTCACTGTCCACGCTCCACGGTCAACTGGCTTAACTCTCTGTCTGTCTAATCTTGTCCTTCCCTAATCCTCCTCCCTTGGCCACTAGGTTCAGGTTTGACTGCACCAACGAGCGGGCTCTGAGGCGCACCCTGCAGGAGGACGTGGTGAAGGATGTGATGACCAACGCCCAGGTGCAGAGCGCCCTGGAGAGGGAGTATGAGAAGATGAAGGAGGACAGGGAGATTCTGAGGGCCATCTTCCCCACTGGGGACAGCAAGGTGAAGGGGGGAGACACACACTAGCACAGGGGTCTCCAACAGGTAGATCGCAAGCTACTAAGAAATGGTCTTCTGATGTGATTTAAAGGCACAATGCAGGCGTTGTTTCTCCATATCAAATAATTTCTGGGTAACAACAAAGTACAGTACTGTGATTGATTTTAAATCAAAATGGTCAAAAAGAAACAAATGGCTTTTTAGCAAGAGCAATTTCTCAAGCAAGAATTTTGCTGGGAGTGGTCTGAGTGGGTAGGGGAAAACTAGCTGTTATTGGCAGAGCGGTTTGGAACTCTTTCTTATTGGTCTAACTAATTTACCATCTGGTGATGTCACCAGGCAGGCTAACATTTCAGGCTGTCTTTTCCAAGAGCTCTTGTACTTAAAGGGTATTATCATCATTCACAGTATTATTCCAACCTCATGGTGTGGAAATATATATAAAACAAATGTGACTGCACTGGGCCTTTAAGCATTGACATGGAACTCTTTGACATGGAACAACTATATATAGCTGTTTATAAAACCATTATTTTACCAGCTATATTGACAGAACACATCTCTTGTACACCAAGGACCCGGGGAAGAGTTGCAGGGTAGAGAAGAATGCGCCTATTTGAAAGCAATAGAAAAATGATTAGCTTGCGACATGGTTAATTTGATAAAAGTAGGTATAACGCTAGAGAAGGTTGGAGACCCCTGCACTAGCATATGTGTACACACTAGCATACATCTCCAGATTCTCCACACATATACATCTCCACGCACATACACATGCATACATCCTCTTTCATTCACTTCCATGTACTCCCAGGAACTCTCACACACTTCCTTCCACATGTCACCACTGCTAGTATATCCCACTGATTCAGACCAATGCGATAGGGATATCTAACACTAAAGGCGTTATGTCCCTGTTTCCCACTAGGTGGTGCTGCCCTGCAACCTGGCCAGGATGATCTGGAATGCCCAGAAGATCTTCAGAATCAACCCCCGCACCCCCACAGACCTCAACCCCCTACGAGTCGTAGAGGGTAGGTATCTACCACACTCGTACACTTTGCAGCCACCATAGACCCATATTTGAAGAAACCCCTAAAGATGTGCCATGTAGTCGTACGTTTTAAAAGGTTGATACCATCCATTTTCAATGGCCACTCCTTGAGGCCGATTTCAAATAAGCCTTTGAGCAATCACACCACCACATGAAGTGACATTGGTAGTTGAAAGTTGATCGCACCCATTGTCAACCATGTCATTTATCGGAATGATTCACAAATCGTGTGGACAAATGCCTGGTTGTGGGATTATAGATGTGAAGCGCTGTCTGGCCTGCCCCATAGCTGCATTGCTTACTGACGGCCATATAAAGCTTCTCGGGTGCGGCTGTGCTCCTAACACTATATGAAGAGCCCAGAGTGCTTAGAGAGATGGATGGAGGGATCCCTTGCACTGTACAGGATCACATGGAGTACCGTATTGTGCCTTACGTTCCTCGGTTTGTAACATTGAGACATTTGTTGTCATGACGACAAAGGTGGGTTGTATTGGAATACCATAGCACTTGATATGCTACAGTAAAAAGTTGCCTGATTAATTTTGTTGTTCCCACGACTAACTTTTTGGTGTAAAACGCATCCATCTCTAGATGCTAAAAGCAAGAATTTGCAAACACTTTGTTCAGTAACCAAGTAAATTGCGTTGATATTTCTGCAATCTTGGTACAAAAACGAAATCTCTCGATAAGCAATTTTATCTGGACCACTAGCCAGGCTAAGTAAGATATAAAATGACCTGTGTGACATTCTAAAACGTCTCCCTTCTCTTGTCTCCACGCCGCAGGTGTCCAGGAGCTGAGTAAGAAGTTGGTGATTGTGAACGGCGAGGACCAACTGAGCAGACAGGCCCAGCAGAACGCCACGCTGCTCTTCAACATCCACCTGCGCTCCACGTTGAGCTCCCGGCGCATGACAGACGAGTTCAGACTGAGCACCGAGGCCTACGACTGGCTCCTGGGGGAGATTGAGTCCAAGTTCAACCAGTCCATCGTGAGTCGAGTCTCTCACACACACAGTGTGCTGGGAGAGGTTGAAAGGGGGAGATTGAGGGTCAACACCTAAACTGGTTGCTATGAACGAAAGAGATGGGATTAGATATACAGGGACAGTGTAGAAAACTAGGATCTTTTTTACAGCATAAAAACTTAGGAAAGAATTCATGCTCGGCTTCTCTGTTTTCTTTCATTACACTGATCTAATTCCGTCATAATCATTTAATCTGAACACTTCATCCTCTGCCTCCTCTAGGCCCACCCGGGTGAGATGGTTGGGGCGTTAGCTGCCCAGTCGCTGGGAGAGCCCGCCACCCAGATGACCCTGAACACCTTCCACTACGCCGGCGTGTCGGCCAAGAACGTCACCCTGGGCGTGCCGCGTCTCAAGGAGCTGATCAACATCTCCAAGAGGCCCAAGACCCCGTCCCTCACTGTGTTCCTGCTTGGCCAGGCGGCCCGCGACGCTGAGAGGGCCAAGGATATCCTCTGTCGCCTGGAGCACACCACCCTCAGAAAGGTGAACAGTGGAGAATATGTGATATGGGTGGGCTAAACATGTGGTTGGCATAGACGGGCTATGTGACGGTTTCCACAGTTAATAACATTATTCAGAAACCCACAAGAGGGCATATTATTCTTGAAGGCAGTACTTCATCAGTGGTGTATCACACCAGTCAGACCAACATTAGTTCTAAAGCGTTGTTTTACTTTAATAAATTGTTAAATGTTATTAATAAATTAAGTTATTACAATATCTGATTTCATAGGTTGTTCCTTATCTTTGCATACTGATTTTACAATCATTAACCAACCATCCTCTCTCCCTCCCTCCTTCCAGGTGACGGCCAACACGGCCATCTACTACGACCCTAACCCCCAGAGTACGGTGGTGACGGAGGACCAGGAGTGGGTCAATGTCTACTATGAGATGCCCGACTTCGACGTGACCCGCATCTCACCCTGGCTGCTCCGCATTGAGCTTGACCGCAAGCACATGACTGACCGCAAGCTGACCATGGAGCAGATCGCTGAGAAGATCAATGCAGGTGGGAATGCACACACGCACACTTCCAATACTTTATTTGGATATATAATAAAGCATTCCAGTAAAAAGGACCCACACACACCCTATTGCTAAATGCAACCTCTCTCCCTGAAGGTTTCGGAGACGACCTGAACTGTATCTTCAATGACGACAATGCAGAGAAGCTGGTTCTGCGAATCCGCATCATGAACAGCGACGAGAACAAGTTCCACGAGGACGAGGAGGTGGTGGACAAGATGGACGACGACGTGTTCCTGAGGTGCATCGAGTCCAACATGCTGACGGACATGACACTGCAGGGCATCGAGCAGATCAGCAAGGTAACGGAGGGGTCACAGAAACAAACACTTATTCCTTTAAACTGCACTGTGGCACCATTTTTCATCTCCGCACCCAATAGTCTTCCTTTCCTCTATGCTCACCGATCTCATACAAACTGATTGACCTAAACAACATGGCAGAAACCTATCCAGATCATTAACCCATCAGCTATTGATCTATAGTACTTCCCCTGTCTCCTCCCCCTAGGTGTACATGCACTTGCCCCAGACAGACAACAAGAAAAAGATCATCATTACAGAGGAGGGCGAGTTCAAGGCCCTGCAGGAGTGGATCCTGGAGACAGACGGCGTGGGACTTATGAGGGTCCTCAGTGAGAAGGACGTGGACCCCGTCAGGACCACCTCCAACGACATCGTAGAGATCTTCACGGTATGGTTAGATACCATAGTTGGATAGCGACGCAAGTTATGATAGTAACAAATAGAGGTAATAGTAACGATAGAGACGATGGTTACAGATAGCTACGATAGTTGTGATAGTTACAATAGCTAGCTACAATAGTTTAGATAGCAATGGTAGTTACCGACAGTTATGACAGTGATCTTTATATGATTTCTGATTTGTATTGTCTGTAGTAAGGGACCAGTTTAAATGTTCTTTACAATTTTGGCTATACTTTCAAGTTCATATTCACAAAAGCACTCTTTGGGAGTTAAACAAGGAATCCTAACTCGACATTGTTAAACCTATTCAGCTCTACTTTACTGCTAAACCTGAATAGTACATGAATCATAGCATAGCCAAAACATGTCAGTATTTTGGGGGATATCCATTACTCATTCCAGTCCCCCCTCCTCTCCTGCCTTCTAGGTACTGGGTATCGAGGCTGTGCGCAAGGCTCTGGAGAGGGAGTTGAACCACGTCATCTCCTTTGACGGTTCCTACGTCAACTACCGCCACTTGTCGTTGCTTTGCGACACCATGACGTGCCGCGGTCACCTGATGGCCATCACGCGTCACGGCATCAACAGACAGGACACGGGACCCCTCATGAAGTGCTCCTTTGAGGAGACGGTGAGTGTTACGCCAGGGGACAGAGGGAAGGGGGTGATGGTCCAGCATCGTGTTAGTATGTCATACTTACCATTTTTAGAACAGTTGTCAGTGGGCTCTTGAGTATAGTCGTCAGCAACTCTTCCGCTAGCTACAGTATCCATAAAACGACTTCCTTTGAGAACTTCATAGGAGTGTTCTAGTTACCAACCTTGACTAGACCAACACATGACAAAGCGATTTTATCTCAATGAAACTAGTCAGTATAAACAATGAAATTAAACGTATAGTGTAGATTAGTCAGCACCCTGTAGACTCACCGTCAACATCATCCCTATCCCAGGTGGATGTGCTGATGGAGGCGTCTTCCCACGGGGAGAGTGACCCCATGAAGGGTGTGTCTGAGAACATCATGCTGGGCCAGCTGGCCCCCTGTGGGACGGGCTGTTTCGACCTGCTGCTGGATGCTGAGAAGTGCAAATATGGCATGGAGATCCCCACCAACATCCCAGGCATTAGCGTGGCTGGACGTGAGTAGACGGGACTAGAATGGCAAAACTTTATTGTCCGCACAGTGTGACTTTAAATGTAATTGTTCACACAATGTGGCTGTTCCCATCACCATATCAACTCCAGTATTTGAATTCAGACGGACATGAAGGCAGAAATGGACTGGTATAGACCAATTTATCTATGATTTGATTAAACAACGTAAACATTTCATTCCAGTTCTGAGTATAACTATGTTGGAAAAAGCCTACATTCAAAGCAAAATATATACACAAAGTATCCAGACTTTTAGATAATGAGATGTCGGTAAAGAATCTCTATAAGGATTGATTGTGAAATGTGCATATTTTCTCTATTTCCTCTTCTCAGCCACCGGAATGTTCTTTGGCTCTGCGCCCAGCCCCATGAGTGGCATGTCCCCAGCCATGACCCCCTGGAACACTGGAGCCACCCCCGCTTACGGTGCCTGGTCCCCCAGCATCGGTAAGCCCCAACCTGGGTTGACTTTGACAATATCCTGGTAGTACAGTGTAGTCCATACCACCTTCTACTGTACTGTTCCATTAACTCATGCTCTGACCTCCAGGCAGCGGGATGACCCCTGGAGCTGCAGGCTTCTCTCCCAGCGCAGCGTCCGACGCCAGTGGCTTCTCTCCGGGCTACTCCCCGGCCTGGTCCCCTACCCCTGGATCTCCTGGGTCCCCTGGACCAGCAAGCCCCTATATCCCCTCTCCAGGTTAGTCACCATACAAAACACCCAGTTTGGTTTGAAATATCAACTGACACAGGACCTTTTTTACATGGAATTAATTAATTTCTTGTTTATTTTTCCAGGAGGTGCCATGTCTCCTAACTACTCCCCCACCTCCCCGGCCTACGAGCCCCGCTCTCCTGGGGGATACACCCCCCAAAGCCCGGGCTACTCCCCAACGTCACCCTCCTACTCCCCAACGTCCCCCTCTTACTCCCCCACCAGCCCCAACTACAGCCCCACCTCACCCTCCTATTCACCCACCTCCCCCAGCTACTCCCCAACCTCCCCCTCATACTCCCCTACATCCCCCAGTTACTCCCCTACCTCCCCATCTTACTCCCCCACCTCACCCTCTTACTCCCCCACTTCTCCCTCCTACTCCCCTACCTCCCCCAGCTACAGCCCCACGTCTCCAAGCTACAGCCCCACCTCGCCTAGCTACTCCCCCACCTCACCCTCTTACTCCCCCACTTCCCCCTCCTACTCCCCCACCTCACCCTCTTACTCCCCCACTTCCCCTTCCTATTCCCCTACCTCCCCCTCTTACTCCCCCACCTCTCCAAGCTACAGCCCCTCTTCACCCAACTACACCCCAACCTCACCCAGTTACTCCCCCACCTCCCCCTCCTACTCCCCTACCTCCCCCTCCTACTCCCCCCACCTCCCCGAACTACACCCCCACCAGCCCCAACTACTCCCCCACCTCCCCCTCTTACTCTCCCACTTCTCCATCCTACTCTCCCTCCAGCCCACGCTTCACCCCCCAGTCGCCCACCTACACCCCCAGCTCTCCCTCCTACAGCCCCAGCTCTCCTTCCTACTCACCCACCTCACCCAAATACACACCTACGTCCCCCTCTTACTCCCCCAGCTCTCCAGAGTACACCCCCACCTCCCCCAAATACTCCCCCACCTCGCCCAAGTACTCCCCGACCTCTCCCAAATACTCACCCACCTCCCCAACTTACTCCCCGACGACCCCTAAATACAGCCCCACCTCGCCCACCTACTCACCCACCTCACCCACCTACACCCCCACCAGCCCCAAGTACTCCCCCACCTCCCCAACCTATTCCCCAACCTCACCCAAATACTCTCCCACCTCCCCCACCTACTCGCCCACTAGCCCCAAAGGGTCCACCTACAGCCCCCTGTCTCCTGGCTACAGCAACCCCTCACCCAGCTTCACCCTCACCAGCCCGGCCATCAGCCCAGATGACAGTGACGAGGAGAACAACTGAGGGATCCAGGAGGAAGAGCAGGGGGCTAAGGAACCTCTCCCTGCCCTACTCGAAGCCCCTGAACTGGGGCTGTAATACTGAAGGATAGCCCCACTGCTGGTGGTGTCAGTGGTTTGGGCTGGAGAGTCATGACAAAGAAAGAACCCTGGGGGTCCCACTTGTGATTTATTTTTATTTTGGGGGCCCTCCTTCGGACCACTGTACCCCAGCCTCGTTCAACTCGGGGGGGGGGGGGGGGGGGGGGGGCTGCCTAAAATATTTACTACTATGTATTTGATAGACTTGAACTGTTTAGCAAGGGGAAAAGGCTGCCTTTTTGAACTACACATTTTATTTTGGTTTTTAATGTTCATGCGGCTGTTGAAGCTGAGTTATAAGAACCTAGAGGAAAGCAGAGGAGGGAGATGTGGTTAACACATTGACATAAACGTCCCTCTTTTCACCCCCCCCCCCCCCCCCCCCCCCCCCCCCCCCCGTTTCCCTGCACCCAGTCGTTCTCTCTGAAATTCAGTTGGATGTGTAGTTGTACTTGAGTATTGCCAAAAGCCTTTGAAAAGCTACCAGTGGATTGTATTTATCTCCTTAAAAAGCATTTAAGCTTCCCCCCAAAAAGAAAGAAACCAGAGGAGTAGAGTTTTACTAAAACGTACATTATCTTTAGTAGATTTTTTCTAAATGTAAAGTTGTTGCTGCCAGCTTTGGTTGGAAGAAAATGTTGAGCTGATGTTTTTGATATATCAGAAGACAGGCCAGAGGAGATGAGTTGACTGGAATTGGATTTAACAGAATTTAAACATTATTACTAATCTGCAGTTCAGAACAGTGGAATTCAAGTAGTAGTGGAACGGGTTGCCTGAACACTGCAGGTGAAAATGAATAGTTGTATTCCTTGCAGCACTTAGTACAGGGCTGCAAATTAAGACCGTCTAGGACAGGAGAGGGTCATGGGTGCTGAGAGAGAGACGCTTGTAACATTTCCGTGGAGATGTTGACATTTTTGTCACCTCTCCTCGACGTTCCAAATAAACCCTTTACCTTCTCCCCTTTACCCTCCCCCCAAAGACGAGCCTGAAAGATGTCAAAACACCCACCAGCATCCCTGTACCCTTCACCATTAGATGAGAGTTGTGTACAACAGCAAAAACCAGATTATTTTCCCAGCAAACCACTTTCCTAAAACACTGGGAAAAAATTGGGTTTATGAAAGACTTAATAATAATATTATCTGACAATTGTCATTGTTTGGTTTTAGAAGAGAACGGAGTGTTTATAGGTGGATGAGGGATACTAGTTGGTCGGCGTTGCTGCTTTTGTCATTGTTTATGAATAAGTAGCAACCTGTTAATGCATTTTAATCATTGTTTTAGGTTGAAGATCTCTTATTTGAAATCACTCCCACCTTAAAATAATACTTGTTCCATAATTCTAATTAGCAAATGTAAATGAGTTCTCTACTTTACTTTGGACTCGCTCATAAAATTTATTTAAGAGGGAAAAATACTACTATTCTTCTGTGTGCATAAGAATGGAGAAATTCAGATTCAATTGTTTTGTTGTACTATTTCCTGTTTTTTGTTGCTTCTGGTGACTTTGTAAGAGCTGTTTGCAAAGAGGTTCTGTTTTCGGGTACTTTGGATGAAGGGGCAGGGGACGGAGGGGAGTAAGTTTAGTTTCCCCCCTTATGTCTCATTTCCATTCTGTTTCCCAATCGCTTTGTTCAGTTTCTGCCATTCCGTCTCGAATTTGGGCCAAGATGTCCACCGCATTCTCATTAAAGGGGAAATCAGCAGTTGCTACCTCGATTTTTTTGATATATAAATTCATTGATTCTTGAAGAATATAACTTATAAATAAATGCCGCGTTAGCTAAGTTCAACTGTCGTACCCGATCAGAACCCAAAATATAAAACATTTTTACTCCAATGTTTGTAAACAAAGTAAATGTAAACAAACACTATAGCCTTAACATGATTAGAACTAATTTTGATGTCATGAGTAGTCAGTCCGTGCATCCATAGCTGTCTTTGAATTTGAGTGGTTACATTTCTCCAGCTCCATCCCCCAGCTTTTTACCGAAACGGTGGTGGGGATTTTGCTTTATCGTTTCAACTGCTGATTGCCGCTTTAAGTTGTAAAAAGGAAAATGTTGCATGCAGTCTATTTGTGAGGCTTCATAGCCTTCTGTAAATTTGTTACCGCTAAGTGGCTCTACTATGGTTCAGGCAGAAAATGCAAAATTCAGATTGACAGACGGGTTGATATTCAGTTTGGTGTTTTTCAGTTACACTCTTGGACACTGGAGGGCGACGTAAGCCCTCGTTTGGGTTGACAAACCATCTCTCAAAGCCTCAGTTTCAGTTCAGTGATTTTATCAAAGGAGACCAGACATTTCAGAGCACTTTTGGCCTCTACAGCCCTCTACCCACTACATTAGTGTGACTGTTTATGAAAACCACCAGGCATAGACACACTTTACATTTACTTCCGGGTGCTCTTACACTTTACTAGGCCTAGTTTGATTGATGAAGGTGATGAGTTTGATTCTTGTGCCTGTTTGACTATGGAACACAGGTAATTTTTCCTCTCGAGTTCCATCTAAGCAATACGACAGGAGTTGACAAGTATCCCCCACTTTTGATTGGACTAGCTGGGTCTCCTCCCTCCCCCCCACTCTTCATCCACAAGGGATCCTGATCGTTTTTGAAATCAGTGTTTTGTCCTTTTTCTACCAGTGTACATACCTGTGATTGGGAATCTCTGGGAGGGAGTACTGTAAAGAACTGGGATTCCCAAGGGAATGGAATTCTATCCCTGTGGAAATCCAATTTGTCTGGATTTTTATCTGGTTTGTGGTCAGGAACGTGTTTGGTATGATTTGTCCTGTATACCAAATGTGTTTCAACAGAAGTGATTTTGAATTGACTGGACCACCTGCATCGAATACAGGTGTTGGCAATACACTGTTGAAATCCATGCAGTTGGTCTGTTCCGTCATCGCCTCATGACATGGTGACTTTGTCCCCTACCATCATATCCCATTGATTTACCTGTGTGGTCCAGTCAATTCAACACACCAGGACTCCCGTGTGTGTCAAAAGAGAGACAGGGTTTTCTTGAGTTGGTGGAAAGACTGGGCAGGGTGTCTTGGGAATAGGAATGTTTAAATTATGAAATTAATTGCCTCTGTATAGAAATCAATCCAATATCTAATTCTCTGTATCTTTGTTTTTTTGACTTGAGAAAAAAATAATAAAAGTTTTACTACAGGTTGTGTCTTGTTTGTATGAGTTGCTGTCACCTACCAATAAACTGAATGAATGAATCCCTTCATATAAGTGGATATATATGATGACGTATTCCATCCTAATGGGTAAAACAAGGATTTGGGTGAGGGTAAACAGATTCTAGATATGAGGCTTTACCTTGACAAACTGATCAATAGCCCCCATATTACTATACAATAAAACGTTCTCCATCCCTGTAAGGGCAATTAGTTGCTATCACTATTGTGATTATCTTGACTACTGGAATAATATTAATCACATCTGGTAGTAAACAAACCTGCATGACAGCAGAACAGGCTTCATTTCCTTACACATCCCCACTGTGGTTTAGTGACAGAGTCAGCTGTCACCACTGCTGCAGATGTCGTTAGGGCCTAGTTCCAAGCGCGGGTGGATTTTTCCAAATTCAACAGACATGCATTGCATTAACCAGCCTGAAAACAGATTATTTCCAATTTGATAAATTTCTCTACTCTGAATAGAATAGGAATGGAGTTATATAGCCTCTATTTACCACCACAAACCGATGCTGGCACTAAGACCGCACTCAACGAGCTTGTATGCACTCACTAACTGTAAGTCGCTCTGGATAAGAGCGTCTGCTAAATGACAAAAATGTAAATGTAAAATGTATAAGGCCATAAGCAAACAAGAAAATGTTCATCCAGAAGCGGCGCTCCTAGTGGCTGAGGACTTTAATGCAGGCAAACTTAAATCCGTTTTACCTAATTTCTACTAGCATGTCACGTGCAACCAGAGGAAAAAACTCTAGACCACATTTACTCCACACACAGAGACGCATACAAAGTTCTCCCTCGCCCTCCATTTCTGAAATCTGACCATAATTCTATCCTCCTGATTCCTGCTTACAAGCAAAAACTATAGCAGGAAGTACCAGTGACTCGCTCAATACAGAAGTGGTCAGATGACGCGGATGCTACACTACAGGACTGTTTTGCTAGCACAGACTGGAATATGTTCCGGGATTCATCCAATGGCATTGAGGAGTACACCACCTCAGTCACCAGCTTCATCAATAAGTGCATCGACGACGTCGTCCCCACAGTGACCGTACATACATATCCCAACCAGAACCCATGGATTACAGGCAACATCCGCACTGAGCTAAAGGCTAGAGCTGCCGCTTTCAAAGAGCGGGACACTAATCCGGACGCTTATAAGAAATCCCGCTATGCCCTCAGACGAACCATCAAACAGGCAAAGCGTCAATACAGGACTAAGATTGATTCCTACTACACCGGCTCTGACGCTCGTCGGACATGGCAGGGCTTGCAAACTATTACAGACTACAAAGGGAAACCCAGCCACGAGCTGCCCAGTGACGCGAGCCTACCAGACGGGCTAAATGCCTTTTATCCTCGCTTCAAGACAAGCAACACTGTAGCATGCATGAGAGCACCAGCTGGTCCGGACGACTGTGTGATCACACTCTCCGTAACCGATGTGAGCAAGATCTTTAAATAGGTCAACATTCACAAGGCCGCGGGGCCAGATGGATTACCAGGACGTGTACTCAGAGCATGCGCGGACCAACTGGCAAGTGTCTTCACTGACATTTTCAACCTCTCCCTGACCGAGTCTGTAATACCTACATGTTTCAAACAGACCACCACAGTCCCTGTGCCCAAGAAAGCGAAGGTAACCTGCCTAAATGACTACCGCCCTGTAGCACTCACGTCGGTAGCCATGAAGTGC